AAAAGTGTGGATTATTGTAACCTGGATTAAAAGTGTGGATTATTGTAGTGAAGCCTTCATCTTCAACCATGGACAGAGGCCTCATGTCAGTGACGATCATGTTCAGGATGTTTCAGTGAAGACAGCTGCTGCTGTGGTGTCCATGATGTCTGTCCATCATGAAGGCTGTTGTTGTTTGTTGTTGTTTTCTGGAATGAGACAGTAAATATGTTTTATAACATAATTTACAGCAACTCAAGAAATGCCTTGTTTCACTTACAGCGTTAGGTTCAGACAAAAGTAGCTAAAAGAGCAATTAAACACACACACATATAAAATACTTAATTACACACATTTGAGTAGATGTAATAAATTACTTTAATTCCTGTTTAAATGCAAATCATCCTGCCATACCTGCAGTGTCTTCAGACTTTGCCAACAAATTAAAAGTTGAAGCTTAATCATTAAATTATTATCTTTGTGTTAGATTTATTTATAAATCACATTTAAACACTGCTTGTACCAATTAAATTAAATAAAAAGTTACACACGTTCTCTATCACCGTCATTAATCAGATAAATAAACAAACAGCAGCTTCATCTACCAGACAGACTGACGTTACATTTTCTCTCTTGAAACAGAACAATGTGTTAAATTGTAGAGACTCACCTGCAACACATGAAGAGTTGTATCAGCTGCAGCTCCTTCCTCCTCCTCGTGACTCCCACATGTTTACGTTTTATCTCCTTGGTTCTCTCGTCGTGTCGTCACTTTTCAAAGCTGCATGTTGCTCAGTTTTTATCTTTGTGAAGAGCTCCCACTCTTTGGAGGACTTGGGTCGAACAGTTTTTGCTGCGTCGGTCATTTGTAAAATTTACTTAATTTCCTTTCAAAACAGACTCTGCTCTGCTCCGCCCCTCGCTCTGTTCAACTCACGCTGCAGGTTTTTTTTTTTTTTCAAACTTTATTCAGTCAGTCAGCATTGACAATGAATTGCCCGTGAACAAAACGAAACGGCTCCGCAGCGCTGTGAAAGATGCATAATCGCACGACACAATGAATCGATAATGAAATTCGTTGCCAACGCTTTTAATCATCGATTTTTATCGATTTTATCGATTCGTTGTTGCAGCCCAAGTTCCAACTACAGGGGGATCACGCTCTTAAGCCTCCCAGGTAAGGTCTATTCAGGGGTTCTGGAGACGATGGTCCGTTGGATAGTCGAACCTCGGATTCAGGAGGAGCAGTGCGGTTTTCATCCTGGTCCTGGAACACTGGACCAGCTCTACACCCTGAGCAGGGTCCTGGAGGGTGCGTGGGAGTTTGCCCAACCGGTCTACATGTGCTTTGTGGACTTGGAGAAGGCATTTGACCGTGTCCCTCGGGGAACCCTGTGGGGGGTACTCTGGGAGTATGGGGTACCCGGGCCCTTTGATACGGGCTGTTAGGTCCCTGTATGACCGGTGTCAGAGCCTGGTCCGCATCGCCGGCAGTAAGTCGGGCTCGTTCCCGGTGAGAGTTGGACTCCACCAAGGTTGCCCTTTGTCACCGATTCTGTTCATAACTTTTATGGACAGAATTTCTAGGCGCAGCCAAGGTGTTGAGGGGATCCGTTTTGGTGGCCTTAGGATCACGTCTCTGCTTTTTGCAGATGATGTGGTCTTATTGGCTTCATCAGATCGTGATCTACAGCTTTCGCTGGAGCGGTTCGCAGCCGAGTGTGACGCGGCCGGGATGAATATCGGTTCCTCCAAATCCGAGGCCATGGTCTTGAGCCGGAAAAGGGTAGAGTGCCCTCTCCAGGTCAGGGAGGAGGTCCTACCCCAAGTGGAGGAGTTCAAGTATCTTGGGGTCTTGTTCATGAATGAGCGAAAAATGGAGCGTGAGATCGATAGGTGGATAGGTGCAGCGTCTGCAGTGAAGCGGGCGCTGCACCGGTCCATCGTGGTGAAGAGAGAGCTGAGTCAAAAGGAAAAGCTCTCAATTTACCGATCGATCTACGTTCCCACCCTCATCTATGGTCACGAGCTTTGGGTTGTGACCGAAAGAACGAGATCTCAGATACAAGCGGCCAAAATGAGTTTTCTCCGCAGGGTGTCTGGGCTCTCCCTTAGAGACAGGGTGAGAAGCTCGATCATCCGGGAGGGACTCAGAGTAGAGCCGCTGCTTCTCCACGTCAAGAGGAGCCAGTTGAGGTGGCTCAGGCATCTGGTTAGGATGCCTTCTGGACGCCTCCCTGGTGAGGTGTTCTGGACACGTCCTACCGGAAGGAGGCCCAGAGGAAGACCCAGGACACACTGGAGGGACTATGTTCCTCTGGTCTGGGAACGCCTCGGGATTCCCCCGGAGGAGCTGGCCCAAGTGGCTGGGGAGAGGGAAGTCTGGGCCTCCCTACTTAGGCTGCTACCCCCACGACCCGACCCCGGATAAGAGGAAGAAAATGGATGAATGGATGGATAAATGCAAATATAATGTGATGGAACATAAAACAACTAAATGTAACAAATAATAAAACACAAACTAAAGTACAATGTTTCAGTTATCGAATAACATCAAAGTTCATCTTCCACAGTTTTAAGAAAATGAGGACGCATCAAGAAGCACATGGGAAATAAAGAATGGAAACGTATAAAAGTTAAGAAGTAAAAGATGAAGAGGACAGAGTCTCAGCTCTTCAGTTCAGTTCCTTAAAGACGACAAAAATAAAAATGTCTTTATTGTCATCATGCACTTGATCGAAGAAGGACTTGATTTTTATTTGAAAACACGTTTGTTTTCATGCTTCACTGTTTCCCACAGAGTCCCAGTGGGACAGGAGGCTGTGGCCTCTGGATCTGAACCAGCTGATTGGAACAAGACCTTCTGGGTGACAGTGTTTGTTTTTTCCTTTCACCTTAAGATGTCAGGACACGTTCATATTTTATCAACGTCTCAGACCAGCATCCTCCTCGAAGTTGACCTTTGAGCTTCTTACATTTTCCCAAAGAACAAGAACAGAACAAGTTGATAGAAACACTTGCAGCATATCTAATCACCTTCACTTCCTCCTCATCAATCGTCTCATTCAGTCCCGTGTGTGAAATCATCAGAGAATCTCAGGGTGCATTCACACCAGCCCTGTTTAGTCCACTTTAATCCAACTCTAGCTCGTTTTCCTAGGAAGTCCAGTTCGTTTGGGGAGGTGTGAACGCACCATCGAACTCTGTCACGGAACAAAAAGGCGAACTCTGGCCCGGTCTAAAACCTAGGTCTGGGTCCGGTAGAAGAGAACTCCAGCACGGTTCGAGTGCAGCGTGAATGTAAACAGACCGGACCTGCTCCACAGGCAGGAAGTGGAGTACAGCGCAGGACAAACACACATTTCTCTCATATGGAGCCGTCAGCTGACTTGTGTGAAGAACAATATTCTCCATGGTCTTCTGTCTCATCTTCTGCTCATGCTGAGTCCATTTTTGAAAAATGACTAAATATAACTCCTAAAACTGCTAAAACTTGATGCCACTTCGTTTTTATTTTTATTTACAGAAGAAGAAGAAGACGTGTCTTCAGAGGTTTTTGTGTCGTTTCTTTCAGTAGTTCTTGGTGCAGCGCCCCCACAGGCGAGGGGGGAACAGGTTGCTTCAACAGGTTGCTTCAACAGGTTGCTTCAACAGGTTGACTCGACTGCACAGTGCAGTGTTCTGCAGTGTGTTTTGTAAATTTGACTCTGTTTGACTCCCACCATCCACTGGAACACAAACTCTCTGTCATCAGAACTTTACAACATCGGGCTGAACGTGTCCCCACAAAGACAGAAGGGAAGGAAAAGGAACTGAAACACATTCAAGAAGCTCTTCAAACATGTGGATATCCTAACTGGACTTTTGTCAAGTCAGCGAGGAAATCTACAAAACACACCAATAAACAGAAAAAGGAGAACAACAGACGTAAAAACATTGTCATCCCTTATGTTGCTGGAGTATCAGAGAAATTCAGAAGGATCTTCAACAAACACAACATCCCAGTACATTTCAAACCCAGCAGGACTCTCAGACAGAGGCTGGTCCACCCTAAGGACAGAACACCCATACACAAACAGAGTGGTGTAGTGTCTGTGGTCCAGTGCAGCGAGGACTGTCCAGACCTCTACATTGGAGAAACTAAACAGCCTCTTCACAGACGCATGGCTCAACACAGGAGAGCCACCTCCTCTGGACAAGACTCAGCTGTTCACCTCCACCTCACAGATAAGGGACACTCTTTTTAGCCTTTTGACCAAAATGTGCACATTTTGGACCGAGAACACAGATGGTTTGAGAGGGGGGTGAAGGAAGCAATTTATGTAAAAATAGAAAAGCCGTCTCTTAACAGAGGAGGAGGCCTCAGATTCCCACTTTCAAAAACATATAATGCAACTTTACCATACCACTTTATTTATAAAGCACTTAAAACAGCTACAAGGCCAACCAAAGAGCTGTACAGACAGAACAACAGGTAACACACAATGCAAAATACAAAATGAGGTAAATCAGAATATAAACATAAAAACGATGCAGATAATGACGACAAACCAGTGTGGAGCATACAGGATCAAACACAGATCATCTGGTGTTGAAAGCTACTGAATAGTAGTGAGTTTTTAAACAGGACTTGAAAACCGAGAGGGAGGGGGCCTGTCTGACAAGCAGAGGTAACTCATTCCAAAGTCTTGGGGCGGCGGTGGCTGAGCGGTTAGAGCAGTCATCCTCCTTTGGGAGAGTTTGGGGTTTGATTCCACCAGCAGTCACATGTTGAAGTGTCCCTGGGCAAGACACTGAACCCTCATTGTCTTTGTGTGCGTGCGTGCGTGAGTGTGTGAGGCCCAGGTTGTTGTAAAGAGCTTTGAGTTCTTGATATGATGGAAAGGAGCTGTATAGGTAATGTGCGCTTGCCGCCTTGTACTAAGCTTGGTAGATTCGTTGTGTCTGACAATGTGTTCTTGTGGATACTGGTAAGCTAACTGGTCTATATGGGATGTTTTTGTCGTCCTCCTCAACTTGGGCTTGATGACTTGAGTTTCTGTCAGCAGTGCTGTGGTGAGCGGTGGACGTGCGTGTGGTTTGGTGATCTTCACCTCCTGCAGCAGGAGCTTTCTCAGCGTCTGCATCATGTTCAATGTTTGTGTTTGAAGTGACACGGTCTGGTTCTGTGTGGAGCTTCCTCTGGATTTCAGGGGGTGAACCTTCCCACATGGACCTTCATGTCTTGGCTCTGGAAGACCTTGATGTCCACTCATGTCCTTTCTCAGCAGCTGTAGTGAAAACACTTGTCCTTGAAGTAACATCCTGGTACCTGGTGAAGCTTTTAACTGAGCATCTCTTATATGTACACCTGGACCAGGTGTGGAGGCCCTGAAGAGACGCTACCTGCGCCACGTCCACGCACCTGTCCGCCCGGCCTCGGAGCGCATCGTGCAGCTCACCGTTGTCCGCAAAGACAGCGCCTCCTCTGGACGGGAGGAGCTGTGTGCAGAGTCCATCTCCATCACCATCAAGGAGGACGCCGGCGAGCCGGGAGCCACAAAACCAGGTCCGCTCTTCTTCTGGGCAGCTGGTTCTGCTGGTTCTGATCCGTGCTAACCGGACCGTGTGTCTGCAGGAGACAAGCTGCTGACGCTGAAGCAGCGCCTGCAGCTCGCCATGGCCCGACGCAGGAAGGAGGAGAGAGTCCGCAAGGAGGAGCTGCACCGCCTCGACAATGAAGACTGCGAGGAGGAAGAGGAGGACATGACCGAGTCAGAGGAGGAAGAGGAGGTGAAAACCGTTTGTTTCCTGAGTGGACCTTTCAAAACAAAAGTCTTTATTTACGGTTGTGTGCTTGTTGTTCTCCTCTGTGGCAGGGAGTCGATGAGCTACTGGGAGGTGGGGAGGAGGAGGTTAAGGAGGAAGAGGAGGGTGTGGCTCCAACTATGAGGAGTCCTTCTCCTGCCGTGCAGAACCCGGACCTTGTCACCACAGACGGGACTCTGATCCTGTTCCCTGGCAGCTCGTGTTCCCGTACCGGGTGGGTCAGAACCCTTCGGCTGCTGCTGTTCAACGAGCCGAAACTGAGTCGGTGCAGCTGAACGTAGCTAAAACCACGAGCCGATGGCAAAAAGAAGCAGCTAAAATAATTAAATCTTAAAGAGTTTTTAAAAGCCGAAGCTTTGGATCAAAAACAGCTAAAATCAGATCAGCAGCTTCGGCTCATAACTGACATTTGTTTGGTTTCAGAGACGGGCTGAAGAAGTCCGGCCCGGCTGGACTCGACGGCAGCAGTAAGACAGGTGGGTGACCAGCAGACAGTTTGTCTTCAGACACCGGCTCTGGTTCTGGTCCGGCTCACGTCTGTTTCTCTGACGGTGTCCAGAGGAGGAAGACTCCCTGTCCCTGATGAAGGACCACAACAGCAGCTTTGATCTGGCCGGGTCCATGATCACCTCCTACCAGCCCGTCAACCAGCGCTCCACAGGAAGGGGCGGGGTCAACGCCTTCCGCTCGCCTTCGCCCTGCTTCTTCAGGCCCAGCTTCCTTGGCTCCGCCTCCAAGGTAAGCCTCCTGAAAGGTGCTGTAGTAGTACATATACGAGATATATGCATACAATTTTCACGAGTTCCTCATCTTTCTGATTGTGTAGTGTCGTGCATTGAATTTTAACAGAAATGCGAACGAGAGACGTCATTATCTTTGACCCATCAAAATGAATGCGGTCATTTATTTTCAGAATCAAAGTTTAACATCAAACATTTACATTAATTTGGCAAAATATGAAAATAATAACAGACAAGTTTCACAGATAATGAGCTTCAATCACGCGGCGGTGATTGAGGACTTTGCTTCAGATATTTCTAAAATATCTGTACTGATTTTATGAGAAAGCAGAGTTTAAGATGGAGATTTATCTTACAGAGAGATATGTGAGGGAATTAATCTGTTATGACCAGAACGTGCACGCTCCATCAGATCTCAGCTTGCTTCCGGTACACTTTAGTCGAAGAAGAAACTGTTACCTGGTTGACGATGACTCAATGTCGGTATAGAATCCTTCAGACTTTTCAGCGTCTCCGTTGAGAGCAGCTGAAATCCTTCGAGAGTCGTGCGTGGTGTTCAAACAGAAATTATAATTCCAAAACGTCTCTGGATCATCCTGAACGCGTCTGCATCCAAGAGCTCTAACTCCATCACTCTGTGCGCTCTCTAGTTGAACTCATTTCTGAGTGCAGCAACACAGCAACCAACAAACTCCAGCAACTCAGCGTCTCAGCTTCTTGCAACTCCTTCAACTCTAGACTCCTTAACTCCTGCATGAACTGGGAAGTTGCCACATTTTAAATGGGTCGACTTCCGGTTCATTTGAGAGCTTTTGATTGGTCGATGGACCAGGAATAGAGGTGTGGTGTATGATGTAAGATGTTATTAAAAATCAAGGATTGTTTAGTAACGAACAGAAAGATTATTGTAGGACTTCAGACTTCGTGGAGTCTCACACTTATAATCTTCTGAAAAAGTTTAAACATGACATCTTTCTCGGTAAACATTTTAGTTGACCGAAAACCGACCTTTAACATACTTACATTGCAGACAGAAAAATCAAGAAATGCATATTAACCTGATTTCTTCTTTGAATGAGGAATAAAAATCATTACTTACTGTTTATGTAAAATAAAAATGAGTAGTTCTCTTCAACCTGTAAACATTGAGTGAACTAACACAATTTGATTATCAAACATTTGTAAAACAGTGATGATTATAAAAATTGTCTTTTCTGCTTGATTAATTCAAGAAGGAAAGTCATCAGATGGCTCAGACTGTATTCAGATCAATGAAATAACAGTCTCTGTCCATCTGATAGATTTGAGGTCATCAGGGTCAGATCAGGGTCAGATCAGGTTCACTACAGTGCGCAGGTGATGTTTTATTCTGAAGGTTTGAACTGTCCGTCTTTGTCCCGGCAGAGCTCAGGACGTCTCTCGGAGCCGTCTCTCTGTCTCCCTGTGGAGGACTCCCAGGACCTGTACGCTCCTCCGTCCCCTGGAGTCGACTCGGGGCTCCTGGGAGAGGCCACTTCCTGTCCCGGACTGGGCGGAGACTCTCAGGGGCGGTTCTCTCTAGAGGACGACGCCCACTCTCAGCTCCTGGACGCAGACGGGTTCCTGAACGTGGGACCTCGGCCCGGAGCGCCCACCTCCCACAAAAGACAGCTGGTCCTGGACAGTCTGGACGAGAACGCCATGGACGCCAACATGGGGGAGCTGCTGGGCCTGTGCTCTGGGGGGTTCGGGTCGAGGCGGGCCGGAGGCCTCAGGACCTCGCAGGAGGACGAGCTGCTGGACCTGTGTTCAGGAGCGTTTCCTCCCACTCAGGCTGAGGAGGAGGAGGAGGAGGAGAACACCATGGACCAGCTGCTGGGGCTGTGTTCTGGAAAGTTCTCCAGTCCAGGTGAGAGACCCCTTTGTCATTGTCCAGGTCCAGTTCTTAGTTCTGGTCCAGTTCTTGGGCTGATTTTTGTTTTTCTGTTTTCAGGTCCGGCTGCAGCTGATCAAAGGTGGAGTTTAATGTTTCGTCCGACCCGACCCAGGCCTGAAGAGTTGTGCCAGGTTTTTACCTTGCTTTCTGTTTACAGAACCAAGGTCCCTGCGGAGGAGGAGCAGCAGGAGGAGCAGCAGCAGCAGGAGGAGGACTGTGACTTTCTCCTCCTGTCTGATGTAGAAAGTGATCAGGTAAGACAGATCAGTCTGTTCACGTGAGGAGGCGCTGTAAGACGTTTAAAACTAAAAATGAATCTTTCTGTGAGGAGCAGGCGGAGGAGGAGGAGCAGGCGGAGGAGGAGTCTGTGTTTGCTGCCTGTCACATGAAGAAGAAGAATAAAATGTAAGAAAAAAATTTAAAGTGATGATGTCATCACCCGAGCCGGGTCAGAACCAGAACCCTGCTCCTCTAACTGGGTCTGGACCTGTCCTTCAGGACTCTGATGGACTACGTGGACTCGGAGGCGGAGCTCTCCGGCAGCGACGTGGGCAGCGACGATGAGGAGGGCGACAGAGGGAGCGAGTACGAGGAGGAGGAGCTCCTGGAGGAGCTCCCCTCTGATGAGGAGCTGCAGAACCAGGTCAACAAGATCCACATGTGAGTTCCACCTCCCAGAACCTCCAGAACGGGTCCGGGTCCGGTTGACTCCTGGTGTCTGTGCTCCAACAGGAAGCAGGTTCTGGACGAAGACAAGCGCCGCCTGCGGCTCTACCAGGACCGGTACCTGGCTGACGGGGACCTCCACTCAGACGGGCCGGGCCGGGCCCGACGCTTCCGCTGGAAGAACACGGGTGAGCAGAACCGAACTGGGTTTAGTCCGAGGCTCAGGTCCGGTCGTTGCTAACGCTTCCTTCAGCCCTTCACAATAAGAGCGTCTAAAAACAGTTTCTGAAGATTAAAAAAAAGTTTTATTTTGAAATTTTCTCTTTCACAAAACCCTCCAATGAGAAAAAACAAAAGTTCTGCCGGGCCGGAGGGACAATGATGCTTAAAGCTGAAGGTTCTGACTCTGCTTCAGATGACGGGTTCAACACGGACCGGACCGGTGCCGAGGAGGAGGGTGAGGGTGAGGAGGAGGATGTGGACCCGGCTGAGGTCCAGAGGAGGAAGGACCGCCTGGAGAGGGAGCAGTGGCTCAGAGAGCAGGTCTGTGGTCTCTGTCGGTCGGGTCCAGATGAACAGGACCGGTCCGTAACGATTCTGATTGGTTCTGTCAGTCTGAGCAGAAGTCCAGGAGCGGGGAGGATCTGGACCAGGATGATGGTGATGATGATGAAGACAGCCGCTTCATGAAGCTGGCCAAGAAACTGACGAGCAGAACTCTGCAGAGAAAAGATCCGTTTGGTTCTGATCGCTTGACCCGTCCCACTCCATTTGGGTTCACGAGTCGAACTGCAGAACTGGACCTGAAGACCGCCTCGGTTCTGAACCCATTTCAGAAACCGTCCGAACCTCAGCAGGTGAGTCCCAGCAGATGAGGTTCTGTCGGGTTCTGTTCAGAACACCAGGTCCAGTCTGAGCATGCTGGTTCTGTTCCAGGTCCGGAGGGGTTCTCTGCTGGGCCGGCCTCAGTCAGTCCTGCAGAGACTGGCCTCGGTCTCCGAGGGGAACCTGCTGGCCCCCAGGAGCAGCCGGGGCTTCCTGTTCCAGACCCTGTCCCCTGAGAAGACCGGGTCCGACGGAGCTCAGAACCAGGTGGGTCACAGAACCGAGCCTCTGTCTCTCAGGGGTTCATTTGGTTTTCCTCAGGTTGTCAGTGTGTTAAACCGGGTCAGCTCAGCAGAACTTTGGACCAGCAGAGGGCGCTGTGGGACCAGCAGTGCTCAAAGTGCAGCTGGTTCTGAATGAGATCTTTCAACTGGACCTGCTGATGGAATCAAGCAGAACCGTGATCAGATGCAGGGTTCCAGAACTTCTGACTGGATCTACTTGATCCTGCTGGTTTTACAGAGACGGGGTCATTTATTTATTTGTTTCTTTAAATTAGGACGATGGTATGAATCAACATGTCAGCTGTTAGCATCAGTGTAAAGAAGCTGAAGTTAGCACAGCAGCTAATTTTCATCTGTTGTCCTAAGTCAGGTAAGAACAAGAGACGCCCCACAGAACAAAGAACAGAGAACAGAGAACAATGCAAACATCAGCTACATATAGAACACATGACAAAGATGTGACGCCATGAGAAAACAGAGTAACGTGCACGTGAGTGCACGTCTGGTTAGTTTTCAGACCGTTTTTAAATGTGGAGCAGGTGTTCCTGATGGAAACTGTCGGTGTTCCTCCTCTGGTTCCCCTGATGGACACCAGCACACGTGGTCCTGCTCCTCCACATCAGTCTCCTCTGCTCAGTGCTCGTGTGTTCACTCTGTTACTTCTTTCAAACTTCTGAAGTACTTTACAGGAGGAGGAGCAAGTACATTTACTTT